AACTGGGTAAAATAAATGTTTTTTTTTTTTTTTTTTTTGGATGCTGACAATACCGCCTTTCCATTCCGCTACTCCGCCAAGCATATTCGAATATACAATAAAATAGAATAGAATAGAATAAAATAGAAATCTTATTTTTTTCACGTGTACTATAAAAATTTGTGATAAGATACACAATGCGGTTATAATAAAATATTGTGCGATTATTTTCATATAATTAAAATTAATATGTATTTATTTTTTTAGAAAATACAAGGGAAGCGGCGCGTCCACCGCTTCTAATGACGGCACGCCACTGCCCCACACAGACAAAAATTAACGTCAATAACACAAACTTAAGTCGGAGGTCGAAACATTCTACTGACACACCGGCAAAAACTTTTCCTTTTTTGAAACGCGGACAGTGGTAAATAAACTGCTTTAATTTAAAACCAACGCGGCGATGACATACAAAAGACAAAATGACAAGATATTTATCCGAACACCAGTTATAACAATATATAAACTGTTGGAGCACTGCAATGTGTTCTGGCAAGAGAGTAAAGACAATAAACAACCAGACAGAACTAAACACACCGGAAATGAAAAAATTTCGAATGCGGAAGCGCTGTAACGCAGTCCGAAAAAAAAAAACAAAAATTATAAACACGAACGAGACTATATATACTTCTTTCTTTCTTTCTTCTTCTTCTTCGATGGTGTTTATATGGAGATTTTAGCTCAATGTAGGCTCTTTCTCCGAGTAGACTTGTGTATGTGTATGATCGCTAGGCGACCGATTAGCCGGCTGTATCGAACAGCCATACGTACGCGCGGGAAATAAATGCCTTCCGGGAGGACTTTTATGGGGAACTGGCCTCCTATTCAGTCGTTATAGGCAAGGAGAAAACCCGGAAAACTCCAAGCAGCCAGCCTGTCCGACCGTGGCGCGAACCCACGACGAACCTCCCAGTCTTTAGGGTCTGGTCACCACTACGATGAGCGGCAACGGAGACCACTCGCC